CCTAGAGTAAAGACTTCCACGCACAAAGATAACCACTTACAGTATTTTCATCTACGTCATATCTGCAGCCACTAAATCACTCGGCAAAATTGTTTGAATGTTTGTATTTGAAAAAACTAATATATAACTAATATATAATATATATATATATATATATATATATATATATATATATATATATATATATATATATATATATATATATATATTAATGATTTAAATGTAATAAATGCATTTCTGGTCCTTAAGGAGTTTTATGGCTCACATCAGAGCCATTAAAGTGTGCATTTGCAGCATAGATACAGACAAAAGTGTTATTTTTTTTCAAATGTTTGTACCACAGAACACAAACTAACACATTTATACATTTTCACTCTGCAATTTATAGTAAGCTATGTGTAGGCACAGTATAACACAAGGCAAAACTATTTATTTAAAAGACATTTGTGAGAAGTGTACTAATTAATGTAGAAATAAGTGCAGAACACACACACACACACAGTGCTCAGCGGAAATTAATATACCCTCTCAGAGATTTTTTCTTTAAATTAATTCCTTTTATGGAGTGCTATACAAAAAGGTATTTCTGTATATACATTAAAGTTACATATACATTACACCAAAGTAAAAACTGAAACAAATGTCACAAAAAGATTGATCCCTCTTTTTATTAAGTGCTTTAACTAATTTGTTTAAATATAGTTACTGTGTATATTGTGACACATGATACAATTTAGTGAATATTACTTTTTACATTGCACTTTTGATTGGTTAATCAAATTAAACTTTAATTACACCTTTATCCACCCCTAAACCTATCCATACCCGCAAACCTGTCCCCACCTTAGCTGTATTTCACCTTCAGAGTATCAGAATTGTTCTAAAAGACATTATGAACACAGTAAGTACAATGTATTTACTTTTTTGATATATAGATATCAAAACATTTTGGTACATTAATATCAGTGTGTATGGGAGCGCTATTTCTATGCTGGTACATGTGTTGACACAATACCGGAAACCATCCCATGTGTTTCTTAAGCTGCCCCGAATGAGTGAAACTCTAGGGTTGGGTATCGTTTGGTTTTTCGATACCGGTGCTAAATTGATACTTTTAAAACGATACTGGTGCCAAAACGGTGCCTGAATCGACACTTTTTAGCCACAAAATGATGGTGGACGACTCTTCAAAAATATTTATTTGACAAATTATTTTAAAAAAATTATTTTAATAGAACAATATAATTACAGTTTAAAGTAAACATCAGTTAATATTGTATTACATTAATACATTTCCTTTGATCATTTGTTGGTTAGCATGAATTTAAAATTTGCATTATGAAATTACATTAGCTTACTATTAACCTGTGGGGGGCAGGCAGGGGCCACGTACTTTTAGGAGCACATTTAAACATATATATCACAAAATACTTAAAACATTATTGGAAGTCATTTATTTTCATGCATCACTCTGCAGTCTTCATAAACAAGATAATTAAATAACTTACTCAAAATAATCTTCCTTGTTCATTTATTTGACAAGCAACGTTGTACTGATGAAGGAGAACACATTTCTAACATTCAAGTACATCATGGCACATTGCTGCACCTGTAAACTTTAACAGGCCTACAGTTGAAGTAATTTTATTTTGCTCTCCCATTCATTTAAAATATTCTTTCTGAAAACTTTTACAGTGTTTCCTAAAACATAATTATTCTGGAGTCAAAATAAGTCCTATTTCTTATTGTTTATTTCATGAATAAAAGCTGACTGTTTTTAAATTCAAGACTGCATTTCCTAATGTTAAATTATGTACACTAGATTTCTGATTAATAATGGTCTCTGCATAGCCGAGGACTTCCTATATTAAGAGTTAAAATCGCTATTGAAAACAGAAGTCTAATATAATCAACGGTGGACATTTTGATAGTGTTTCACAACATGAACATAACTGAAGTTTAATCTTTTTATTCCCTGTGTCAATTTGGGCATCAACTTCTGACGAGTGCGGGGAAATGATGCGCGCAGCGCCGTCACAGAGATAGCATAGTGCCAAGAAAACAGAGGGAGCGAGCATAAGCGTAAGCTCCCTCCGGAGATTATTCTGACTATAATCTCATGGCTCTAACTGAGACCTGGTTGAGGCCGGAGGACACTGCTACACATGCTACTCTTTCTGCTAATTTCTCTTTTTCCCACACTCCTCGTCAGACAGGGAGAGGGGGTGGGACGGGACTACTAATTTCCAAAGAATGGAAATTTACTCTGATACCGTCCCTGCCAACAATCAGCTCCTTTGAATTCCATGCAGTCACCATTATCCACCCCTTCTACATAAATGTGGTTGTCATCTACCGCCCACCAGGTAAATTAGGTCACTTCTTAGATGAACTGGATGTTCTTCTCTCATCTTTTTCTAATTTTGACACTCCCTTGTTGGTGCTAGGTGACTTCAACATTTACGTTGACAAACCGCAAGCTGCAGACTTTCAGACTCTGCTTGCCTCTTTTGACCTAAAAAGAGCACCTACTTCTGCTACCCACAAATCAGGTAATCAGCTAGACCTTATTTACACAAGACACTGCTTCACTGATCAAACAATAGTAACTCCACTACAAATATCTGATCATTTCCTTCTGTCTCTCAACATCCACATTACTCCTGAGCCGCCACACACTCCAACACTGGTTACCTTTCGCAGAAACCTACGATCTCTCTCACCCAATAGACTATCCACCATTGTCTCAGACTCTCTTCCTCCATCTCGCAAACTCACTGTACTTGATTCGAACAGTGCCACTAATACACTCTGCTCCACACTAGCATCATGTCTAGACCGATTATGTCCTCTTGCATCCAGGCCAGCCTGTGCCAGTCCTCCTGCACCCTGGCTCTCGGATGCTCTCTGTGAGCATCGCTCAAAACTGCGGGCTGCAGAGAGAATTTGGCGGAAAACTAAAAATCCTGCACAGCTCTTAACATACCAAACTCTTCTGTCCTCTTTCTCAGCTGAGGTTACTTCTGCAAAGCAGACATATTACCGTCTGAAAATCAACAATGCCACTAATCCTCGCCTACTTTTTAAAACATTTTCCTCCCTCCTCTATCCTCCTCCTCCACCCGCATCCTCCACACTTACTACTGATGACTTTGCTACATTCTTTTGCACCAAAACTGCAAAAATCAGTGCTCAATTTGCTGCACCTACAACAAACACGCAAGATACAACACCAACACCTCACACACTCACCTCTTTTCCCAGCTCTCTGAGTCTGAGGTGTCCAAACTCGTGCTATCTAGCCATGCAACCACCTGTCCACTCGATCCTATTACCTCTCATCTCTTGCAAGCCATCTCTCCTGCAGTCATACCAACACTGACTCACATAATTAACACATCTCTTGACTCTGGTTTATTCCCCACTTCGTTTAAGCAGGCTAGGGTAACCCCACTGCTAAAGAAACAGTGGACCAACCTGGACCATACGCTACTTGAAAACTACAGACCAGTATCCCTGCTTCCATTCATGGCCAAGATTCTGGAGAAAGTAGTGTTCAATCAAGTTCTGGACTTTCTTACTCAAAACAATCTCATGGACAACAAGCAATCCAGCTTTAAGAAAGGCCACTCAACTGAGACTGCCTTGCTCTCGGTCGTGGAGGATCTCAGAATGGCTAAAGCAGACTCTAAATCATCAGTCCTCATTTTGCTGGACTTGTCAGCTGCTTTTGACACTGTCAACCACCAGATCCTGCTATCTACGCTCGAGTCACTGGGCGTTGCGGGCACTGTTATACAATGGTTCAGATCTTACCTCTCTGACAGGTCATTCAGGGTGTCTTGGAAGGGAGAGGTGTCCAACCTACAGCATCTAAACACTGGGGTACCTCAAGGCTCTGTTCTGGGGCCACTTCTCTTCTCCATCTACACTTCATCTCTAGGACCAGTCATCCAGAGACATGGATTCTCCTACCACTGCTATGCTGATGATACCCAGCTATACCTCTCTTTTCATCCTGATGATCCCTCGGTTCCAGCTCGCATCTCAGCCTGCCTGTTGGATATTTCACACTGGATGAAAGATCATCATCTTCAGCTGAATCTCGCATAAACGGAAATGCTTGTAGTTTCTGCCAACTCGTCTCTACACCATAACTTTTCAATCCAGATGGATGGGGCAACCATTACTGCATCCAAAATGGTGAAAAGCCTTGGAGTAATTATTGATGACCAACTAAACTTCTCTGACCACATTTCTAGAACTGCTCGATCGTGCAGATTCGCACTCTATAACATCAGAAAGATCCGACCCTTCTTATCTGAACATGCAGCTCAACTCCTTGTTCAAGCTCTTGTTCTCTCCAAACTGGATTACTGCAACTCTCTACTAGCTGGGCTTCCAGCTAACTCTATCAAGCCTCTACAACTGCTCTAGAATGCAGCAGCACGAGTTGTCTTCAATAAACCTAAACGAGCATGTCACTCCGCTGCTAGTCTGTTTGCACTGGCTGCCAGTTGCTGCTCGCATCAAATTCAAAGCTCTGATGTTTGCCTACAAAGTGACCTCTGGCCTTGCTCCTTCCTATCTGCTCTCACTTCTGCAGATCTATGTGCCCTCCAGAAACTTGCATTCTGTGAATGAACGTCGCCTCGTGGTTCCATCCCAAAGAGGGAAGAAATCACTTTCACGAACGCTCACGCTCAATCTGCCCAGTTGGTGGAATGAACTCCCTAACTGCATCAGAACAGCAGAGTCACTCACTACTTTCAAGAAACGACTAAAAACTCAACTATTTAGTCTCCACTTCACCTCCTAATCTGCAGTTGCCTCTTTGAATATCACACTAACTGTACAAAAATAAAAAAAAATAAAAAATACTAATACCATTAATACTTCCCTTCTTAGACTTTACAGACCTGAAACTTGCCTATAGCACTTATTCATTGTTGCTCTTAGTTGTGTAAAATGCTTCCTTGTCCTCATTTGTAAGTCGCTTTGGATAAAAGCGTCTGCTAAATGACTAAATGTAAATGTAGCTAAAGCACGCAAGAGAGGCTCTGCCTTTGAGCCCCCAAATGTGTCATTAAGTTTGACATGTTTCCCCCTTACACACACTTTTGTAAAGACAGTTGCTGTGTAAGAATCCTTGCTTGTAAAATACGCTTTAGAATGCTTAGTTTAAGCAAATTGGATGAACGTGATCATGCATGTTGATCTGAAGAGTGTCGCTCTCGCTCACCGAAAACCACTGGTTCCAGGCTAAATGCTCTGTACTCTGAACGTTGCGTGCATCTGTTCCCTAGCGACAATAACAATTGCCTGATATCGCCTGTCGGTATTCCTCTAAGTTGTTTAGAATTAAATGTTTAGTGATGCTGTGACGCAACGCCTATATGTGCCTTTTTTCATGCACCCCTCACGTCCATCCCGCAGCACCGAAATTCAAACGCTGATTTAATACCGGTACATACCAGTTACCAAGGTACCGGTGCTATAATGGCACCGGGTTTCGGTACCCAACCCTAGTACACACTGATCATGTCTACAGTTTATCTCCAGTGTGAATCCTCTGATGTTTTTTCAGGGTTCCTGTGTGAGTAAACCTCTTACTGCAGTGTGAACACTTGTACGGTTTATCTCCAGTGTGAATCCTCTCATGTGTTTTCAGGGTTCCTAATTGAGTAAACCTCTTACTGCAGTGTGAACACTTGTACGGTTTTTCTCCAGTGTGAATCCTCTGGTGCCGTTTCAATTCTGCAACTGTAATAAAAGTCTTCTCACACTCCAAGCACACATACTCTTTTACACTAGTGTGAATCTTCATGTGGTTTTTAAGGTATGATGATTGGCTAAAACTCTTCCCACATTGAGTGCAAGTGAATGGTTTCTTTCCAGTGTGGATCATGATGTGTTGATTAAGGGATGATGATTGGCTGAAACTCTTCCCACACTGAGTGCAAGTGAATGGTTTTTCTCCGGTATGGATCCTCATGTGTTTATTAAGGGATGATGAGCAGTTAAAACTCTTCCCACACTGAGTGCATGTGAATGGTTTCTCTCCAGTGTGGATCATGATGTGTTGATTAAGGTGTGATGAGTTGATGAAACTCTTCCCACACTGAGGGCATGTGAATGGTTTCTCTCCAGTGTGGATCCTCATGTGTTGATTAAGGGATGATGAGTGGCTGAAACTCTTCCCACACTGAGTGCAAGTGAATGGTTTTTCTCCGGTATGGATCCTCATGTGTTTATTAAGGGATGATGAGCAGTTAAAACTCTTCCCACACTGAGTGCATGTGAATGGTTTTTCTCCGGTGTGGATCTTCATGTGTCTATAAAGCGATGATGATTTGCTAAAACTCTTCCCACACTGAGTGCATGTAAATGGTTTCTCTCCAGTGTGGATCCTCATGTGAGTCTTTAATTTGCTTTTGCTTGCCAAACTCTTGTCACACGGAGTGCAGGTAAAACAACTCTTGTCTCTCACTTTTAACACACAATCAGTCTCTAAATGAGTTTTGTCCTCAATTTTGACATGATGTTCCTCCTCTTTACTCTCCTCGTAGTCTTTAATTAGGTCTGAAATAAAAATAAGTTCACTTTTTAGTAAATCATTAAAACTCAGTGAAAAGGAAGTGAAAACATTGGCTACACAAATCTTAATTTTGATGCACATTAAATGTAAAGACATAGCAGATCATATTTAGATTGATCTTGTCATATTTACCTCCTGGAGTCCATTACACAGATACACATTTAAGCAGATTCTTATATGATTATTCCCAGATTAATTTTGGTTATATTGATGAGACAAAAATTTGAAAGCTGTAAATGGCCAGTTTATATTTGTATATATTCGTAATCACAACAAAACAGTTTGTTTTTGTAAAACTTGTAAAGCAGATATGGAATGCTTTTTCATTCTGTGCCTGACTGGTAAACCTGTTAAAAAAACAGCTGAATCTCTGCTAATATTTGCCTCATAGACATATATGACATGTATAATATCTGCATAAAGCTTTAAATCTGCACCTTTAAATGAGAAATGTTCTAGAGGTATGTAATCTGTAACAAATGCAAAGCAGAAATCTAACACTTAACTGTTTCAGATCATCAAACAAATGTAAATATTAGTCAAAGATAACACAATTAAACACATTGTGCAGTTTTTAAATCAAGGTTTTTATTCTTAAATTGAAGACAAAATACTGAACTACACTGACTTGTGTGAAAAAAGAAATTCCCATTAGAACAATTTTAATTTATCACACCTGCTTCAAGTTCTCTAGCCACACCCAGACCTGATTACTACCACACACGTTCGCAATCAAGAAAACACCTAAATAGGACCTTTCTGACAAAGTGAAGTAGACCAAAAAAAGCCTCAAAGCTAGATATCATGCCAAAATCTAAAGACCTTTAAACACAAATGAGAAAGAAAATACGTGTGTCACAAAAGAGTGAGCTCAAATGCAAGTCTTTATTGAGAAGCGAGTCTTGGAAAAACCAAAAGTCAAAGTAAACACCAGGTCGGGTGAGCGCTGAGGAAGTGCCGTAGGAAAAAACAACCAGACACTCACTCACTGGTGGTCTTGAAAAACATACAGGGTGAGTAACAAAATAATATACACACAAATGATCGATAACATACTGACAAACATGAAGGGGAATGATGTGGTATAGACAGAAAAAAAGGGAAACGAGAGCTCCTGTGACTGCATATAAAACCAGATGACAAGAGATAATCTGTAATACAGATCAAAGCCCCTTTCACACATGTATACCGGTAAATATGCGGAAAATTTCCGGAACAACTTTACCGGTATATTCAAAAAAGCACTGTTCACACAGGCGAGGACGTTACGGAAATTTTCCAGAAAAGACCTTTCACAAATCCATTTCAAAATACCGGTAAATTCTGACATCATTTACCACAACTGAGCCTTAAACGGCTGCGCTTGTATTTGTAAACATTTGACTACATTACAAACTCTGTGGATGATCAGTATTGTGAACAACTTCGAAGAAAACATATGGAGGATCACTTTGGCATGTCGAGATGTTTATAATATGTGCGTGTGCTGGCGCTCACAGGCTGTTTCACAGGCACACGCTAAGCGTGAAGGTAAACAAACGGCGGCTTACCATAAGCATCTTATCGATGATTATTTACACAGTTGGCATTAAGAAGAACATATAAACATTATCTGACTAACTTCTAGCAGCTAAATGCGTCTGGGAAAATATTCAAAGGCTTTTATTCTCATAAACCGCGCGGACGTAAATGCGTCTGACTGTTCTGATTGGCTCAAGCAGACGTCTCACAACAACTTCTAACTAAATGCGTCTGACTGTTCTGATTGGCTAAAGCAGGTGTCTCACGTCAGCACGTTCTAGACGTGCACGCGTTCTTTCCGGCAATCTTCCTTCTGCATTCACACAGCGCAGCATTCCGGCATATTACCGGGAATGTTACAACTTCTCTTTCTGGAAAATAGCCAGAACGAATTTACCGGTATTTTCAAAAAGGACCTGTTCACACATACAACCTTTCCAGAAAATTGCCGGTAATTTTCCGGAAAGGTCTGCATGTGTGAAAGGGGCTCAAGAGAAGAGAGCCAAAGAGTAAGGTATCAAAGGAGGATGTCACATCAAAGATTCAAGTGTTACCACTCAGTGGGTTATGTCACAAGACTCGCGTCACTTTATTGTGGCTTTGAGGCTCACTGGGATTCTAATTACTGGCCAAAGTTATATAAAATCACACTTTATTACAATATATATGTAGAATATAAATAATTATAATATGTATTATATAATATTAAATTAAATTACATGGGGGCCATGGGGGGTGGTTCGTTTGAACAACCCGAAACCCCCTGGCTACGGGCATGGCACAGTGATCTGTGTCATTACAATGGCTTTTCCCACAGCTGGTGGAGAACACGAGAGTTCGGTTTGAGTTCAGTGTAGAGCATACATTTTCATTGTTTTCACTGTAAAATCCTCACTGCGTGTGCAGATTTAGGAGACATTTTTGCAGAATGCATCTTTGCACCTAAAAACGTCAAACGCAGCACTCAGGAACAGATTAAAACAGTTGTTATGTGAACTCGAAGTAAAAAAGTCTGCAATGCTAGCCCCGCCTTTGTACTCTACTTATTGGCTCACTGCTCTACAACTGAATGTAAATGATTGGTTAATATCAGCTGTCAATCACTCAGTCAATGCCTTCTGCCTTCAGATGATAGGAGCTACAACTGCGAAAATGTGAAGCGCTGAAGATGAAAGAATGAAAATAACAGACATTTACCTAAAGTTATTAATAACGGCGCATCTGTTTAGTGATCATGTGCTGAATGTTAATCCACCATTTACACTTTTCCAAGAGTGGATAAAAGACTTCTAGTGGCTTCAAGCAAATAATAAGTTATATATCAATATAAATGTGGGGCAGGGCGATGGATCGTGATGCCGGCTAAGCATCGTGAAGTTTGTCGGCCATCAGCGATGGACAATGTCATGTAAAAAAATAATACAATTGATCAGCTACAATCAACATCATCTTCCGAAGAGCTTCATAAGAAAACACTTATTCTGCAAGCGGAATGACTCCTTGAGGATCTCCACATAAGATCACTCCAGATTCATTATGAACATGGTGAATGAGCTGGCAGGTTATTGTGTTACCAACTGTAACAATCCTCAGCAGCTGGTGTTATAGTAGCAGTTAGTAAGGATGATGGCAGTATTATTACTGACAAACAGGGTATTAGTGATCAATTTAAAAAACTTCTATAAAACTCTTTACAACTCTGAGGTAAACTAAATTGAATGTATTGAGAGCTTTTTTAATTATTTAGAACTACCATACCTCTGTGATTCAGATCAGTTGACAAAAGAAGGAATTTTAACGTTTGTCCTTTTCTTTCTGAATGTGTCACAGAATGTGTCCCGCGTTTGTCAGCTTCTCACAGGACCGGGTTTCCAAAGCTTGTCAATAATCAATCGCATGTTATTATTATCAGCTCAAGAAGTTTGTTATTTCAAATAGAGACGCGTGGCGAGCACAAGGAAGAAAGCGAAACCACTCGGGCTTCAGACCGGCTCGTAAAAAACTACGCGGCACAGGGTAAATCTGCTCTTCTCCATGGCTTTGTGGCTGTTTATCAAGACGACGACAGGGTTTGTTTGAGCCCGGATCGACCATGGCTGCATATGTATATAATTCCGCTGTAATCTCTCGCTGTGTATTTCAAACATGGCGGGTCCTTTGTTAAGATTCTGGCTTGTGTCTACGAATGATGTATCTCTGTAAACCAATAGCGTTCAGCTGCACGTCTAGCTCTGCCATTTAGGGCCTACTCACACTATGCCATCCATACCATGCCCAGGCCCGTTTCCCGGATTTCCCGGATTTTCCCGGTTTGAGAAGTGTGAGTGCGGTGAATCGGGCTCAAGCACGGTTCACTTGGCCGGCCCTGGCCCGGTTGGAAGAGGTGTGCCCTAGCGCGGGTCACTTGGGCTTTGGCACGGTACGCTTGTGTGTGAGTGCAAAACGCGCCAAAGCCCGAAACTGAAAGCGAGACGTGACTTTTAAGGGGCTGTTACATATGGATTTATTAATCATTCTTACTGTTCAGTGAACGCAAACTGCCGTAGTTTATTACAGACGAGAACTCCTCGAAGCACGACAGCTGCGTGGCTTCAGCAGACCTCCTCATTCCTGCAGCACGAGAGCTTTATGATTGTTTATGAGCGCCAAAAGTGGCGAATCTGTTTGGCGAAATATCTGACTGCGTGTCACAGCATCCCTAAGGACTGTTTGGCGAAATATTCGACTGCATGTCACAGCATAACTAACGACTGAAACGATATAACTAGAGAAATCTCCACTGTGCTGTTGAGTGAGAGAGCGCTTCTCACTGAACAGCGCAGCAGCGATGACGTAAGTGTGCCGAGGCCTGTTTGTGGTGTGAGTGCGGGCCGTCGGGGGAGACGGGAGGGGGACAAGCGCTTTGGCCCGGTTCGAGGCAGCTGTATCTAGTGTGAGTACGGCCTTAGTGTTTGGGACCTTTTCGAAAGGGTGCCAAAAAAGTGGTATGGTACGGTTTGGTTCGGTACGCCTTTTGACAGTGGAAATGGCCATAAAAGCGTACCAAACCGAACCACTCAGTGGAAACGGGACATAAAAGCTTGATTAGCTAGTCCAGGTGTGTCTGATTGGGGTTGGAACTAAACTTTGCAGAACACTGGCCCTCCAGGACCAAGTTTGCACATGCCTGCTCTAGAGGAACGAGACAGGGCTGCCCTCTGTCCCCTCTGCTCTTTGACGTTGTCATCAAACCTCCTGTAACCAATTTAAGGAACTCAGATGGCTTGCAAGGAATTTTCAGAGAGGGACAAGAACAT